CTGACATATGCAATTGTTGTTACTGTTAATCCTCCATCAACACTAAGTATTCTGTACCATGTTCATTATTCAGCCTTGATTGACAACGGTATAAGGATCTATTCAGAAATGTCACCTTTACAGTAAATGAAGAAGTTGTTATCCTTAAATTATCTCTACTTTGCCCACCTGGTAGACTGATTTAGGTTCTTCTTTTTTTCTAACTGAAGTAGCTCTGGGCAATGCTGTTGCTGATCTGGACCCTGAACTGTCAACTCATCCACATGATTCATTACTATATCCTGTTTCAAAATTCCTATATTATGTAAAATTGCACAGGAAACAACATATTTACATGCTCTGGTTGGATTCGTTCTCAGTCCCAAAGATAGACAAGGAAATCGTCTCTTTAAAATAGCGAAAGTTTGTTCGATCAGAACGCGTGTTCTGCAGAGAGAATAATTATATCTGTCTCTGTGTCTGATATTGCCAGTGTTGGGGTAGGGAGTCATCAGGTAGCGTCTACAGGGGTATCCAGAGTCACCCAGCAGGAATCGATCATGAACACCTGAAATATATATGTGCAATTTGTTTTCATATGTTTTTAAACTTAAGTTCAGAAAGGACAACTATGAAAAGAGCCCAATTTTACCTACAATTTCTAAATATGAAATGAATTTGACAAGAAACTTCGTAATGGAGTCATCATGTATGTTCATGTTAATAGTAATTAGTCTTTGTCTTTTTGGATGTTTGGGACTTGAGTCAACACTGAATATAGATGTTTATATTCATAGAAATCTTTTTAGTATGGTTAACATTTCAGGGAAACCTTTACTGATTTTCTAAGGATATGGATAAAGAATTCATCTTGGGTCACAGAATATCTTGTAAAGTTGGATATATGTATGTAGAGGTTTACCATGTGAGTAATATCACTGACCACATGTATTACTGTTTGCAAAATGTCTATTGGAAACATATTTACATTCTAATTTACAGGGGTATTGTTTACTGTATGTCAAGGATTTGTTAAATTTCAATATTCCCAGATTGATCATAAATCATGATATGTGCCATTGAGACATAACATTATTTTAGATCAACATCAACATCATATCCTGGTTTATGAAATTTATGTAAAATATATTGGTGAAACTTTACAGGATTTCAGAAGCAAAATCTGATGATTTGGAGTGAAATAAGCTCACATAAAATATAACTGTTATGTGATACATCAAGGGAGTGCACTCTTGAATGAAAGGCGTTTATGTGAGATTGATGTGGATTTGTAAATCCAAAATAGCTCTGTAAAATGTCCAATATCTGACTTACACTTCATCAACCTACATGCAACATGTATTTTTTCACTATTTATTATTGCCCCATGTAAAAGGTATTGAAATTAATTGTCTTGCACTACCTAGAATGACAAGATCTCTTATGATTAACCCTCACTTAACCCTCAAATACTTACCATTTTCCCAATTATCGCCGAGTTTACTCTCCCTGAATATGCGGGCATCATGGCATGATCCAGGCCAGTTGGCCACACATTTAGTAATAATAAAGTTGGGGTCGCAAACAATCTATATAAAAGAAATATACAATCTTGTGGTCGACTGAGGATTATTGTGGGTAAATATATATATTTAAGATCGTAGTGGGTGGGTTAGTTTAAGGGGGAGTTGAACGGCTGACATAGTACCTATCTTTTTAGTCTTTATTGTAGAAGCTTATGCCCACGCAGGCGTAGGGGCTGGGAAGACGTGACGATGCCACGCTTGGGAGAGCCGAGATGTAAGGAGCGTGTTCATTGGTTGTGTCCGTTTTCCTGGTCACATGGTCCGCGTGTTGGCTTTATAAGCCTACCCTTGGTAGGGAATCGTCAGTCGTCACTCACCAGTATCTGGTAAGGTACAGTCGGCTCCCACGTCCTGAATCAGGATAATTTATTATTTATTAAAGGGCTTACATTGGGATTTTAGATTAGGAGGTATGGGTGGGGGGAAAATAGAGTAGCATTGAATAGGTTTGTTTTATAGACGTTTTACTTTTGGGAGTTAAGTTAGAGGGGTGGTTAAAAGAACAAGTTTAAGTAAGAAGATTGAATTGGTTTACGTAGGAAGGGAAGGGGAAAATTACGTAGGTTATAGATAGGTGGAGAAGGATTTTGCCCCTGTTGTTTTTTTAAACTTTAAATCCAACTTTACTCCTTGTATCTTATCTATAATTAGAATTGGTAACCCGGTCAAGAGCCTCCTAGAACATAAAGACAAAAGAATACTGCACATGGAGAAGAGAACACAACGCAAAGCACCGCAGTAAAACATCAGACCTTTTGTCAACTATTTTTATAGTTTTACTGTCACTGGGAGCCTTTTACAGGCTTTAGAGGGCGCCTATTACAATCTGTATACCGGTAATGAATAATGTTTGATGATATGAATGATTGGTGGGAGAATGGAAAATCATCTTGTTTGTCAGTTTTAAAACATCCTTCAACATTTATTTTGTGTCAGGCAACATATTTCAACGGTCTGAAGCATAAGCAAACAACATATTTTTCAATGGTCTGAAGCATAAGCAAATTCAGGGACATATTGTATTTGTTTAATGAAATCTCAGCCTGTACGTGTATATACACCCATTATTTTGCGGATTTTGTATCGAATTTACCAAAACATATGTTTTGGGTATTGTCAAGTTAATATTGCAGATGCTAAAAATTACATACACATCCATTTGAAAGCTTTGTATTTATTTGTGTATTAATAAATTATTTGTCATTGTGAACATGCACCTTGTTTTTTTAGCATGCTTGTGGAACTGAAGCAGAGCAAAGTAGTTTCATCACTTTTAGCACGAATACGGTAAAGTAAATTATAGGTGGCACCAGTGTCGTGTTCTAATTTTAGATCAAAATGGCTGCCTCCAAAGATTCGGGGAAAACACCATATGTATCCTTATCGTGTATATGTTATATTAATGCTCAAATGTCAATTTTGGGTGTATTACTTACCGGCAAGAGCATGGAAGGGACGTTTCACGTCATGTGATCTTTGGCCTGTCAGGAAAGCGATGAAGCGAGAGGACAGCCTACAGAGTAGCTCTGCCACTCGTCGGACACACCTGCCGGCTGTTGCTTTACTGATACAGAACAACTGAGCAACAAACTGAAGGAATATCAAAACCTGAATTATAGGTGGGAGACTGTGGGAACGCTGAGTGGGGTGTGCCAGTTCATCACCGATTAAGCCAACGATGAAAAAAATGGCAAAACGACAAAATCTATGTCTCTCAAAGAGCTCTTCGTCGTTGTACAGATCAAGAGGGTTGAATCGGTCCCGAAATGTCCGATGAATTGCTATTTTGTCCTTTTTAGCCCTTAAGCGACGCATGAGGCGAACAAACTCTGCCATCTTTCTTGCTACAAATTTTGTCTTAAGTCTACTCAGGGGCAGTCTTAGGACTTAAGATCAAATTTTGTCTTAGACTTAAGATATTCTCATAGATTGAGCTTAGTGATCCCCGATTTCAGACAAAATTTTGTCTTAAGTCTAAATCTTAAGAGTTAAGACAAAATATGGTCTTAAGTTAGTTTCATGACTTTTTAGATGTGGAATTGTAAATAAGCTGATGTTGGGCAACCAATTACCACGTATATTGGCCCGGCGGCATTAGTTGTTATGTCAGCTGTAACTGTCACAATGGTTCTCCGAATTGGGCCAGGCAGCGGTAGTTTCCAAGTATGCTATCTGGGGCGGGGCTGGGCAGTTGCCTTAGGCCAGCAGCAGTAACTGCTTTTGGCAGCGTGGTAGTTGCCAAGCGTGTGTTTCTTATAAATAAGTACGCTACCAGGGCCGGGTAGCAGTTGCTGCCCTAAGCCAGCAGCAGTAGTTTCTAATCGCCACTAGTGCACTAGCACCTGCACGCCCTCAGTCATTTAGTCCACTCTCATGTCATGTTGTTATTATTGGCTCAGCCATCCAAAGTTTGGTAGTCCGTACCTAACCTTTGCATATCACACGAGTATTATAATGAATTTGATAAATGAAGAAAACTAAATTTTGTACTAAACTTCAGTGGTTTATGATAGTGCATCTCTCACATATTAGTACATTTAATTAGAAATTATATATTTGGTAATTTTCAGCTGTCAAGATTTTCAAGATTGCGATACTGTCACCAACATTTGTTCAGCATTCTTAGAATTAATACATATTTTTGACACCATGAGTGCTTAGCTAACTATATTAAACAAACAATCTGAAATATCATGAATAATAAAAATGCACCAACCATAGCTCTTACCATGACTACCATCAAAGAAATCAACAAAGCCTTATAAACCTACTCCTGCTGCTCAGCAGAACAGCAAAAACATACATGTACACGAGTTGCGGATAAGACTTGTGACATGAGATGATGTCTTATCATCCGCTCACTGTCATAAAACAAACATTTGCAAAACAGTAGCATTCATTGTAAGGTGAAATTAATTATTTTCTAAATGTGTATGTGTATGAAAATAGTGTATGAAAAAAAAGGAGTAAACATTTGATTCAGCGAGCAACGCTTGTATTACAGTCTGTTTGGCTCCAAATAAGAACAATGAATTGCAAAATAACTCCTAATGGGGAATAGTCTATTGAATGTCAAAATGGTACATAGCGATGAATACCCTGTACCCAACAATATCTGCTGTTTGTTTTATTCCCATCATGGAAAAAAGTTGTTTAAGAACCTATCATGTTGTTTTGTGTACAAGTTGACATTTTGAACGGAGGGGGCACACTGGTAGGAGGAACAGTCCACCTATACGACATTTAATACACTATTGTCGATTTGGAGTTATATTGCAATTCCTCGTTCTAATTTGGAGCCAAACAGTCTGTACATCATCTGCTATGTTTTGCTTTAAAAGAACCGTTTAACAAAACTGGAGAGTTATTTCGGGAGTTATTTGTTGCCAAATTTTCCCAACAGGTTTCTAATAGAGGTTTTTGTGACTTTCCTACCTGCCAGTGACAGTGTCTTCAGGGTGGTGTTCACTTCCAGCATTCCAGCAAATGCTGCTGCTCCAGTTGACCGGATAAAATTATTAGCCAAATTCTGCACACAGAAAACTGAATGATCATCTTGAAATGTATCATAATAGTTATGGGAATAAAAATGCTTTGTTTTGTTTGTTGTTTAACGGCACGCTCAGAAATGTTCCAGCTATATGAAGGTGGTCTGTAAATAACTGAGTCTGGACGAGACAATCCAGTGATTGACATCATGAGCATAGGGTCCACGCAATTGAGATACGATGACATGCATTAACCTAGTCAGCAAGCATGACCACCCAATCCTGTTAGTTGCCTCTTACAACAACCACAGTCTCCTTTTACGGAAAGCATGGGTTGCTGAAGACCTATTCTACCCCAGATCTTCAAGGGTCGAACTGAGGTCATCATATGATGCATACTTCACACTGAGGTCTTGAGATGATACATACTTCCTACTGAGGTCATGAGATAATACATACTTTCTACTGAGGTCATGTAAATGTGCATACTTCCTATTGAGGTCATGAGATAATACATACTTTCTACTGAGGTCATGTAAATGTGCATACTTCCTATTGAGGTCATGAGATAATACATACTTTCTACTGAGGTCATGTAAATGTGCATACTTCCTATTGAGGTCATGAGATAATACATACTTTCTACTGAGGTCATGTCAATGTGCATACTTCCTACTGAGGTCATAAGATAATACATACTTTCTACTGAGGTCATGTAAATGTGCATACTTCCTATTGAGGTCATGAGATAATACATACTTTCTACTGAGGTCATGTCAATGTGCATACTTCCTACTGAGGTCATGAGATAATACATACTTTCTACTGAGGTCATGTCAATGTGCATACTTCCTACTGAGGTCATGAGATGATACATACTTCTTACTGAGGTCATGAAATTATACATACTTCCTACTGAGATCATGTCAATGTGCATACTTCCTACTGAGGTCATGAGATAATACATACTTTTGACTGAGGTCATGAGATGATATGTACTTCCTACTGAGGTCATGAGATGATATGTACTTCCTACTGAGGTCACGAGATGATACGTACTTCCTACTGAGGTCATGAGATGATACGTACTTCCTACTGAGGTCATGAGATGATATGTACTTCCAACTGAGGTCACGAGATGATACGTACTTCCTACTGAGGTCATGAGATGATATGTACTTCCTACTGAGGTCATGAGATGATATGTACTTCCTACTGAGGTCATGAGATGATACATACTTCCTACTGAGGTCACGAGATGATACATACTTCCTACTGAGGTCATGAGATAATACATACTTCCTACTGAGGTCATGAGATGATACATACTTCCTACTGAGGTCATGAGATAATACATACTTCCTACTGAGGTCATGAGATGATACATACTTCTTACTGAGGTCATGAGATGATATGTACTTCCTACTGAGGTCATGAGATGATACATACTTCCTACTGAGGTCATGAGATGATATGTACTTCCTACTGAGGTCATGAGATGATACATACTTCCTACTGAGGTCATGAGATGATACATACTTCTTACTGAGGTCATGAGATGATATGTACTTCTTACTGAGGTCATGAAATGATACATACTTCTTACTGAGGTCATGAGATGATACATACTTCTTACTGAGGTCATGAAATGATACATACTTCTTACTGAGGTCATGAAATGATACATACTTCCTACTGAGGTCACGAGATGATATGTACTTCCTACTGAGGTCATGAGATAATACATACTTCCTACTGAGGTCATGAGATGATATGTACTTCCTACTGAGGTCATGAGATAAAACATACTTCCTACTGAGGTCATGAGATGATATGTTCTTCCTACTGAGGTCATAAGATGATATGTACTTCCCACTGAGGTCATGAGATGATACGTACTTCCTACTGAGGTCATGAGATGATACGTACTTCCTACTGAGGTCATGAGATGATACATACTTTCTACTGAGGTCATGAGATGATATGTACTTCCTACTGAGGTCATGAGATGATACATACTTCCTACTGAGGTCATGAGATGATATGTACTTTTGACTGAGGTCATGAAATGATAAGTTCTTCCTACTGAGGTCATGAGATGATATGTTCTTCCTACTGAGGTCATGAGATGATACATACTTCCTACTGAGGTCATGAAATGATATGTACTTCCTACTGAGGTCATGAGATAATAGGTTCTTCCAAATGAGGTCATGAGATGAAACATACTCCCTACTGAGGTCATGAGATGATAGGTTCTTCCTACTGAGGTCATGAGATGATACCTACTTCCTACTGAGGTCATGAGATGATATGTACTTCCTACTGAGGTCATGAGATGATACATACTTTCTACTGAGGTCATGAGATGATACATACTTTCTACTGAGGTCATGTAAATGTGCATACTTCCTACTGAGGTCATGAGATGATCCATATTTCCTACTGAGGTCAAGAGATGATACATACTTCCTACTGAGGTCATGAGATAATACATACTTTCTACTGAGGTCATTTTAATGTGCATACTTCCTATTGAGGTCATGAGATGATATGTACTTCCTACTGAGGTCATGAGATGATATGTACTTCCTACTGAGGTCATGAGATAATATGTACTTCCTACTGAGGTCATGAGATGATACATACTTCCTACTGAGGTCATGAGATGATACATACTTCCTACTGAGGTCATGAGATGATACATACTTTCTACTGAGGTCATGTAAATGTGCATACTTCCTACTGAGGTCATGAGATGATACATACTTCCTACTGAGGTCATGAGATGATATGTACTTCCTACTGAGGTCATGAGATGATACATACTTCCTACTGAGGTCATGAAATGATACATACTTTCTTCTGAGGTCATGTAAATGTGCATACTTCCTACTGAGGTCATATGATATGTACTTCCTACTGAGGTCATGAGATGATGTATGTTTACTGTTATTACTAACTTCTGACAATTGATATGTTTATGATAGAGCAATGAGACACTGGGGGGTGACATGATGATTAGATGATGCACTTGATTAAATTAAACAGTGGTACATGAATAACTGGCCATACAGAGGGCCAAACTATTACAAATCATGACAAGCAAGTCTAGCATGACATTATTCGCAGCTACAGCATTTGGGAAAGGTCAAAGGTATTCTGCTAGTGAGTGTGGCCTCGTATTTATGTGGTTTGTGGGAACATAAAGGAAAGTAATTGCTTGCTTAGCCAATCAAATGCCATGGAATCAATGGCAGTTGATATAGACATCAAGAAATTGTCAGTTTTTACACATATACACATCTAAATAAGGGAAGAGAGGATGTTTATCATAAGATATATGGCATTCAAAGACAACTCAAAATGTTGATTAAAACATTACCAAATATACAATGAACATATTTTCTTTGAGCATGTCAGCAAGGTAGTATGCCCCTGCTCCCTCAACACAGTTGTCTGCCAGGTCCACATGCTCCGTTACTGTGTTACGCTGTAAGAAACAAAACACACTGTGGCGCAAACTGAAATAATTATACTTTGGAAAACTGGACAGCCTTGTAGGGGGAACACTGTCTGAACACTTTGTGGTGGAATAACATCATGTTTTTTGGCCTTCATTCCCTTGCCTTCTCAAATTATGAATTGAGGGGACATGGCACTGAAGACCGATAGTGATGGTCAAGAATATCTTGAATACAATAAGAAACAGACTGAAACTCGACCCGGTTACACCCAATACCCTGTTCGTTGTCCCATTGCACTCTACAAGTACAAAATTTTGGGCCCCAAAATTTCTCCTCTTCTGAACACCTCTTCTTAGGGGGTTCACCGGGGTGATGACGCTTGGTTTCAGTGTCAGCTGGTGGTAAACATAACATGGAAGCATCATGAAAAACGTGGCCCAGCATGCAAAACTTGTCCGCTGACCTACGTCTGACTAACAATAGTGTGTGTAAGACCATGCATGCCTCAGACATTCAACTGTAACAACATCGCACATACACACATCATGCAAGAGTCTGGACACTGCTTCTGTCAACAGTTACCCTACTTTGTCCGACAAACATCATCAAGATATGAGCAAGATCCTTATGTCATGCACCTTGCCTTTGGTATCTTGGGCCAGGACATGCGCACTTCCGTCCTAGACTCAGATTCCCTCTACGATCAGCTGTGGGCCTAACTCATCTTTATAAACCTATTCATTGGGATCGCTATTAAGTAAGAGACTTCTTTCTATAGGCATTAAAACCTATTGTGAGGTTTTACTTTCCAGTAGGGTTAAATCTCATAAACAGGGACATTGTAATGTCCCTGGGATTTTATATAATATCCCAGGGATTTTATATAATGTCCTGGGTATTTTATTAATATAACTTCCGTTCAGATTGTAACATGTAATGAAATGTAAAATCAAATGACAAATGTTTTCTTTATATTCCCGAGGATCGAACTCGCAACCTTTGTATCTGTAGCCCAGTGAGTGTACCACGAAGCTACAGAGGTGTTGATAAGCCTCACTGGTTATTAGAATGTCCTTTTCAAGATCCGTACGCCAGCAACAGATATTTTACGCGCGTTTCCTATATTTCATGGAAAGTATGTTCGAAACATAAAAATGTTGATAAATGTTGTTTTAAGTTTCTTTTTTCGGTTTATAAGCATAGAAAAACACTTTCCCTCGGTTTTGGTAGACAGAGCATGCCCTGGGGGTCGGGAAAAACCGTGGAAAAATCAAGTCTAACTAATGCAATGTAAATGATTGGTTGCATAGTTCTCGCTCGATCGTAGACCTACCTTGTCGCACAAATTTAAAAATGGCTTGAAAGTTTACAAATACGTTCGTACGAGTAAGCTTCAGAAGAGGAGCGCAAATTGATAAGGTAAGGGTTTTAGAAAACGCTCTTTCTTTTTATCGTGGCGAGAAGGTTTCTTTCAAAAAATTCAAGCCAGATCTCCTTTGTGTTGACATTCCTGCAGATTATGTGTCATCAAGCATGGTTTTATCCATGCAGCATCCATTTATACAGTGAGATAGTCTAATCTCGATATCTCGATAGGCCTAGCGTTTGATATTAGTCTAATGATACCGTTTGCATTGGGTTAGACTTGATTTTCCAGACGCAATAGTATCTCGTCAACGAAGAAAAGACGTCTATGTAAAAATGATAAATATGGAGATATATTTGGCCTGAATTCAGCTTTTTAGATGATAAAACTTGCTAAATAAATGGAGATCATAGGTTATTAAACACAATTATCAACCAGATTTTACAGATTATCGTCCTAAAACATTTCCAAGTGGTACTAGGGGCTATCATCAACCATTCTGCAACACTCAACAACAAACTTTCCTGTGACACCAATATTTTAGTGTATTTTTCAAACAAGTAAAGTTTGGTTTTCATTATTGTAGTACATGTATGGAATCAAGTCACAAAAATGCAACTGCTACAGAAAAGCATGCATTCCATGCAAAAGTTGACTTTTATGTAAGCCCCAAGCATTTCACTACCCAAGAATGGGTATAAAACATGTGCGTTAACGGGATTCCATATGCATTGTTTAGCATCGTGCTGACAACAACCACACAGAAAAACAACAAAATTACGCAATTATTAAACATCATGAAATGCCACGCTTGTCCGAAAATGAGCGTCTGCGAGCCATTGGTATGCTTGAAGCAGGATCGAGTCAACGTGATGTTGCAAGACAATTTAACATCCACAAAAACACCATTTGGTGTTTATGGCAACGTTGGCAACAGACAAATGCAGTCAGAGACCATCCTCGGAGTGGCAGGCCACACGTACCAATAATCAACAAGACAACTGGATTCGAACAACACAGCTATGAAATCGATTCCAGCCAGCAACAGTGACTGCAAGAAGCATTCCTGGCCTTCGACGAATATCTTCACAAACCGTACGTCGCCGCCTCAGATGTGCAGGGATTGTCGCCAGAAGACCCGCCAGACGTCCCATTTTGACATGAATCCACCGTCAAGCACTTCTACAGTGGTGCAGACAGCATCTACGCAGGACGGTCATACAGTGGGGACAAGTTCTATTCCCTGACGAGTCTCGTTTTCACCTCAGCCACAGCGATAGACGGATTCGAGTGTACCGACGTCGAGGTAAACGTTACGTCAATCATTGTGTCATGGAAGAAGATCGGTTCTGGGGCGGCAGCGTTATGGTATCGGGTTGGATTACAACAAGACAGAGGACCCGTTTGATAGTGGTAGAGGGAAATCTCAATGGACAGCGCTATCGCAACGAGATCATCGGCCCTGTTGTTCTACCTTTTTTGCGTCGTCATGGCCATGGCATTACCGTTCAACATGACAACGCCCGGCCTCATATTGCTCGACTTGTTCAGGATTCTCTTCCACAAAACAACGTGAATGTCATCCCCTGGCCGGCTCGCTCACCTGATCTATCACCAATCGAGCACATGTGCGATGAGATGGATCGGCGCCTTCGACGTCAACCACGTGTTCCAGAGACACTCCAGGAACTTCGAAACATGCTCCAGCAGATATGAACAGATATCCCACAGGACTTTGTGCGACGCCTGGTCCATTCCATGAGTCGAAGATGTGTTGCTTGCATCGCAACCAGAGGTGGACACACACGCTATTGATTTGTTAATTGACATTTTGGCATGTTCATGTTTTTTTTTATGAAATCACGCATTTTCTGAAGTCAGTGTGACAAATTAAACCATTTGAACACTTACAACTTGTAAGTTACAAGAGTCTTTTATCTGTTGCAAACCGATTTTTTTTCAGATTTGGTAAAAAACATTAAATCTTATTCAATGTCACAGGAACTTTTGTTGTTCAGTATATAAAAATCATTGCACATAGCATCATATGCCTACCTGAGTATGTTTGGGCTTGAAGGAATCCATAGCCAAGCTATCAGGCTATAGCAGGCTTTGAGGACTTCATAGCTGATCAGATATATATTCACAAGAATCAGATTCATGCCATTTTCATTACATTTCAACGATAGGCCTAATCTATGATATCAATACTAGTATTCATAGACCAAATATCATAAATACGTGATTTTAATCTCAATAAAATCCTTCCATCTTTAAGGACAAAACATAAATTTGACCATTTGTTGACTCTCAGAGCTGATGTCCAATCCTCTTCTGCCTCCTATGTTTCATTATGCGCACTGGGATTACAGAGGGTCAACTGTGTGGGGTGGGGTGAGGGTGTGTCTGGCGGGCCTTATGCAGAAGATGATTTGACTGGCAATGGGTATTTTGTAATACGTAGAGTGTAATAGTTGGTTCCATGTGATACCTCCAATGTTTAAGCCTTATGCAGAGGAAGATTTGTCTGGTGTGGCCCATTCTGTACTCTGTGATATGAACCTGTTCATTTAAACTTACCTTAATGTGGTACAATCGACATATATTCCAGCCCTATTTTACCCGTGTATACCTGTCAACTATTTGTGGGTTTCTGGCGGGCCTTATGCAGAAGATGATTTGTCTGGCAATGGGTATTGTGTAATAAGTAGAGTGCAATTGTTCATTTGCTGTTGGTTTTATGTGGTAATTCCAATGTTTAACCCAGCTCCAATTTTGGGACCCTCTCTGGGGGGTGGCGGACCTTATGCAGAGGAAAATGTGTCAGGTATGGGCCTTTTTGTACTCAGTAACATGTACCTGTTCATCTAAACTTACTTTCATCTGGTACTTTGAATGTATACTCTAGTCAAATTTTACCAGAGTGTCCACTGTGTGCATTAAGGGTCAACATTTGGGGGTGACTGGCGGGCCTTATGCAGCAGACGATTTGTCTGGCAATAGGTATTTTATACTGAGTAGAGTGTGATAGTTCATTTTATGTTGATTTCATGTGGTACCTCCAATGTTTAACCTAGCCCAAATTTTGGGACCCTCTCTGGGGGGGTCTGGCAGGCCTTATGCAGAGGAAGATTTGTCTGGCGTGGCCCATTCTGTACTCTGCGAGATGAACCAGTTCATTTACACTTACTTTCTTGTGGTACCTCCAATGTTTGATCCAGCCCTTGAATGGTCCCTTCTTTTGGGGGGCCAGGGGCCACACGCAGCAGGGGGTCCCCGGCAGACATCCATATATGAATATGTTGGGTTACACAGTAAATGTTCCTGTGTTCGGATATTGGTACCTTGTTCGTTTGACCAAAGTGCTCTGGGCTGCTGCTCTATATGATTTGATCATAAGCATGAAACAATAAGCCAATATGGCTTCTTTTCCTGAACTGAATAAATACGGTCAAACTGAGTTTCCATCAAAACATTTCCAAAGACCAAAGGGTGCAAACTGCAAAGAGAGATTTTCTCATAGACATATACAGTCAAATATTTCTTTGGATGGTTGCGACAGTCTCTCATACAGAGAATGCAAGCATATAATAGCCGATCCCTTTCTTTGCAAACTGTGTAGGGGCATTCCAGGTCATGAAAGCAGTACATTTGAGGAACTGAAGTCACTGCCGAAGTTGAATTAGAAGTGACACAGTAACAGTCACTGTTGCTGGCTGGAATAGATTTCGTAGCTGTGTTGTTCGAATCCAGTTGTCTTGTCGATTATTGGTTACGCGTGGCCTGCCACTCCGAGGATGGTCTCTGACTGCATTTGTCTGTTGCCAACGTTGCCATAAACACCAAATGGTGTTTTTGTGGATGTTAAATTGTCTTGCAACATCACGTGGACTCGATCCTGCTCATGCTCGATTGGTGATAGATCAGGGGAGCGAGCCGGCCAGGGGATGACATTCACGTTGTTTTGTGGAAGAGAATCCTGAACAAGTCGAGCAATATGAGGCCGGGCGTTGTCATGTTGAAAGGTAATGCCTGGGCCATGACGACGCAAAAAAGGTAGAACAACAGGGCCGATGATCTCGTTGCGATAGCGCTGTCCATTGAGATTTCCCTCTACCACTATCAAACGGGTCCTCTGTCTTGTTGTAATCCCACCCGATACCATAACGCTGCCGCCCCAGAACCGATCTTCTTCCATGACACAATGATTGACGTAACGTTTACCTCGACGTCGGTACACTCGAATCCGTCCATCGCTGTGGCTGAGGTGAAAACGAGACTCGTCTGTGAATAGAACTTGTCCCCACTGTATGACCGTCCTGCGTAGATGCTGTCTGCACCACTGTAGAAGTGCTTGACGGTGGATTCATGTCAAAATGGGACGTCTGGCGGGTCTTCTGGCGACAATCCCTGCACATCTGAGGCGGCGACGTACGGTTTGTGAAGATATTCGTCGAAGGCCAGGAATGCTTCTTGCAGTCACTGTTACTGGCTGGAATCGATTTCATAGCTGTGTTGTTCGAATCCAGTTGTCTTGTTGATTATTGGTTACGCGTGGCCTGCCACTCCGAGGATGGTCTCTGACTGCATTTGTCTGTTGCCAACGTTGCCATAAACACCAAATGGTGTTTTTGTGGATGTTAAATTGTCTTGCAACATCACGTGGACTCGATCCTGCTTCAAGCATACAAATGGCTTGCAGACGCTCATTTTCGAACAGGCGTGGCATTTCGTAATGTTGAATAATTGCGTTATTTTGTTGTTTTTCTGTGTGGATGTTGTCAGCACGATGCTAAACAATGCATATGGAATCCGGTTAACACACATGTTTTTATACCCAATCTTGGGTTGTGAAATGCATGAAGCTTACATAAAAGTCAACTTTTGCATGGAATGCATGCTTTCTGTTGCATTTTTGTGACTTGATTCCATACATGTACTACAATATTGAAAACCAAACTTTGCTTGTTTGAAAAATACACTAAATCATTGGTGTCACAAGAATTTTGTTATTGACTATATATTGGCATCAGTGATGTTTGGTTACTGTCAAGAAGTGATATTTTCCCGTCCTTGGGCTTTTGCAGTAGAGCAGTTTCCCTCGCAACTACTTTTGTGATAGGTAGCAGTAGTGAGTGAGTGAGTATGGTTTTACGCCGCTTTTAGCAATATTCCAGCAATATCACGGCGGGGGACCAGAAATGGGCTTCACACATTGTACCCATGTCGGGAATCGAACCCGGGTCTTCTGCGTGACGAGCGAACGCTTTCACCACTAGGCTACCCGACCGCCCCGATAGGTAGCAGTAAAAGAGGCTGCTGTTGAAAAATTGTGTGTGAGTGACGGAGTGAGGTTTTACGCCGCTTTTAGCAATATTCCAGCAATATCACGGCGGGTGACACCAGAAATGGGCTTCACACATTGTGCCCATGTGGGGAATCAAACCCAATTCTTCAGCGTGATGAGCTACCCCTCCGCCCCTGAAAAATTAGACGAGTTTATTGTGTGATTACAGCCAAGATGCAGGATTATGGCTGTGAAGTAATAGAGGTAGTATTCTTAGAATTATACACAATGATAACTATTGTTTGATTTCATAATGAGTGACTTTGACCTTCAATGTCATCTCTTTGAAAACTTCCCCAGGGGTATATAGGATGTATATCAGGATTGAAGTCTCCAACATCTGTCCAAAACATGTGGTTAAGAAATTCTTTCTAAATTCAAATTTTACAAGCACAAGCCATAGCATTAACAGTTGACTGATATAATCGACCAGCTATTCCACCCATCTTGATGAAGTAAGGGTCAATGTGGTGTGTTTGTAAAAAGAAACATTCTTCCAGGGTCCAGTGACCTCAACTACAAGATTCCAAAGACACAGGGGCACAACTGACAGCAAACATGTAGCCAAATATAGTCTTACGACTATATATGGAGTGATGGGGACACATTTTACCCGTGTCCCAACAAGGCTGAAGGGATATAATGGGATATGGACTTAACGAGAACATAAATACCTGTAGAAGGGCATTTGAAATGAAAGTTGTATTGGGTACTGGTGCGCAAACAAAAATATTATACTTGACAGCATTGCTGGGATCATCAATGCATAGATTTAGCATAATTGGCATTGTGGTTTCAGAAAATTCAAAAGTTCAGGTGAGCACAAAAACATTACCTTGAGAGCAGTAGCCACAGGTTTTGTTGCAAGACCACCAAGGTAGTGATGTCTCATATGGATATTCCTCTTATTCAAATGTCGTCGTAAATACGATATAGGTACACAACCTGTTGAAAACAAAAAGGTCATATATTCAATAATAATTCTGTCTGAAAAATTATTTAATACTTGGCTTTTGAATGTTAGTCTTCCTCGGGTCACTTGAACAGGTGGAATGTCAGCATATGTTGATGGAAAAGATAAAAGGAATGCTTCAAGTTTTAGACATGGTTAAGTAACATGCTTTCAGGAGTTTCGAGCCATGTCCACTATAAGGGTAACGCTATTTACAGGGCATTATCATTTGCAGAAGCCCGAGGTGTTCTATTAACTGCCCTACGAAGGAGGGCAGTTGAAAAGAACGAGGGCTTCTGCAAATCATAATGCCCTGAAAAATGAAGGAAATGTTGCCAGATATGCCCTGTTATGGCCCCTGAACTAACTGTAACATAGGGACAACAAAGAGGACAGGGTTAAACAGTGGCAAGGATGTAAGACATGGAATGTGGTGTATGGGATTATATGTGGAAAGTGTCAAGGTGTGGTAAATGTTGGAGAGACAGAAAGGACAATGGAAGAAAGAATAAAAGAGCACATGGCAAACGCCACGATGGTGTATGGACAATATATCTTTTGCCTAAACAATTATCTATCTATTGCCGTGTCTGGAAATTGATGTTCCGTGATTCAGTGTTACATCAGGGAGGACACAACTGCTATACTGTATAGTTAACCACTTGATAACCGTGTGAACGAGGTGGTGAGATCAGTTGATCATTCATTCCAGGTTGCTTTGTTGACGTTTTGCAATCGGTATTGAAAGTGATGCCCTTGATGTTTGAACATCACAATTTTAAAAATGAAGTAGATTTTGTATAACTACCCATAACTTTGTTGTAGTATCGCCGAGCAGGCTAAGTTACATGTGTAACATGTGGTAAATTGCTTTATTTTAATGTTGCATTTAAAAAGGGGGGCCCACAAAATCTAATAGTTCGTCACTCAGTTACTGCAGCTTTGGCATTCTTTATCGTGTCAACCGTGGTCAAAGGGGAAGCAACTCTATGTAAGCACATCCTTATATTGTATTTCAGCTAAGGGGTTCTCATCTTTGCCTTCATGAGACTCGCCATTTTTGACAGTAAAGCACCGAGTGAACATCAGCTATTATCTTTGCGTAATTCTTCCCCACAGGTAATTACCACATCAATACATACATACATAAACATTTATTATAAGTCCAAGGTTCTATATATGTAGGTGATAGGTTTGTACAAATTGTGAAAGCGCTAGAATTAGCTAGGCAAGTTCAGGGTCAGACTGCACCGGCCTCACGGGTAACGTGACCAGTCAAGTTGATCGGCATGTTATGCCAGGAAGAGTTATCTTCCTTCCGCTAAGGGCCCTGAGAGTTTCAAGATGGCTGCGCCCATGTGTAAACAATTGCTCAGAGTGTTTTCATCTCTTTTAACTGTTGTTGGCATGTGTAGGAAGGAAGTTGTTCTGTATTTGGAATTATATTTAATGACAGTAGTATACCAAGGAATAAGCTTAAATGTTCATGCATCTAGCGAATTGCAAGGAATTTCTGGAAATAGTATCTCATTGTCATGATAAACAATAACAGCCTGTGTGAAATGGGTCATCTCCTGTCAGAATCTGTTAATTGTTTTAGTTTTGAAATTTATTGTTAAGCACAAAAGTGTTGTTTAAATATTACTTTTTATACAAACAAGATAATCAATAATCAAGTTGACATTGGAATATTAAAGTAACTGCATAAGACTGAATCAGTATTGTTACCTTGTATGTAACAACAGCAGTTAAGCATTACAAAGATGCATATTCAGTGTCTTGATGATCATTAATATGCCAGTCATTTCTGGATTATCTTGTTCTGTAATACACAGTGGTTGTTCCAATTGAATTGTAGTTACTTTGTAGTTCTTTATAGTGCCATTCGGTAATTGCCATGTGCTCTTGGTGCAGAGTTGTTTGTACTTTCATTAAGTAAATATACCCCTAGACAACAAGCAATGAAAGTATATAGATTGTAGTACACACTACACGATGTTATCAACATGTAACCAATTATTTGTGTAACCGTTGGGTGATACATATGTTGAATGGGTATTGCCTTCATGAGGCTCGCCATTTTTGACAGTAAAGCACCGAGTGAACATCAACTATTATCTTTGCGTTATTCTTCCACACAGGTTCGTGGCTGCATCTCACCTTGCTTCCCGGCAAGTGTTGCATGCATTTCAGTACAGCGGTAGGTGATGCGGTACATGAAATGTGAAGGTCTTATGCAACGTGAAGTTGCCAGTCGCCTCAATGTTGTGAATTTTGACAGCAACACATGTAAGTAGTGATCAGGTATCTAACTGGGAGAAGTGAGAAATGTTTTCAAGAAATGGTAAGGGAAACAGGCACTGACAAATTATATCATCAACTAGATATCATAAGACAATGTTCAATATAAAAACAATGGAAATCACTGAAATCTATTTTGAAATTTAAGGGTTAATTGGTGCATGTTGTATAAAAAGATTTTATGGATGAATGGTGGCTGTTTGTTGCCACATACTATACCATGATTATATTTCAATATGATAAATTAAAGATATATACAATTATTGCCTTTTTTAAATTTTCAAAATTAGAATTTTTAAAAAAAATATTCAGACACAGAAGATCCTATATATTAATTTAAATACACATTCAAGAGTACTTATAGCATCTAAAATATTTATAAAAAGATTTTATGGATGAATGGTGGCTGTTTGTTGCCACATACTATACCATGATTATATTTCAATATGATAAATTAAAGATATATACAATTATTGCCTTTTTTAAATTTTCAAACTTAGAATTTTTAAAAAAAATATTCAGACACAGAAGATCCTATATATTAATTCAAATACACATTCAAGAGTACTTATAGCATCTAAAATATTTCATCTTATAAATTACAACACTATATCCATACTACTTTTCAATCTCTATAATGATGATTGCATTAACATTGCAGTGTCTACATCCAGTTTGCTTTGACAATCATCAGATGATTGTAATACAGATAAAGCTCATTCTTAATTTCAATAGGCCTTGCTTTTTATATTTCTTTATTCTAAACTGATGTTTCACATTCCCACATTAAGCTGACACGCCGTGATATGACTGGAAAACTGTTAAAATCGGCATTAAACCAGACTCACTCACTACATGTATTATATTTGACATCTTGGTATACTTGTGCATGTTTGCTAGTATTAGATTACACATGCATGACTTTTTAGCAGTCATTATATGTTACTGAACTGCATGTTATGTCAATCAAGATAAGTAACATAGAAAAAGGACTCTAATATTCTTTCATGTTTAAAGAACCAATCAATTCATTGTGGAAACATTTTTAATTACTTATATAAGTTACTTTGATCTTCGTAAGATCAAAATAGATCCAACTTAAAATGAGGCGCCTAAATTAAGGAGTCTAATTCATTTCAGTCAGTCTGTCTATAATCCAGTCTCATTTTTCAGGCAATATGTATATGTAAGTCAAAATATATATTGCCTGATTATGGAATCTGACTGTAACATATTTAAGAATAATCTGTTTTATGCACAAACAAATAACGCCTTTTGGAACAAAAAGATCGCACATTTTTATCGCACATAATTATTACTTAATGGTGTCATGACCAGGAACAATGTATTGGCAGCAAATTACACAAAGTATATCATGGATTAAAAATATCCTTCTATTTTTGGATACAATCATTAGATACATTATATATACAATTAGTAAAGTGTTAGAACATATGTATATCCTTTTTAGAATTATTTGTTAGTTGGCATAACGTTTTGGTTTGCCTTCTCTTTGTTTTGGTTCATCTCGGTAGTTAGGTTTGCTTTATTTTGATTTGGTTTGTTTCGCTTCGATTAGTTTCGTTCATGTCCATTTGGTTCAATTCGATTCGCGATACGTTTCGGTTTCGGTTTCGGTTTCGTTCTGTTCAATTCCGTTTATTTTCCTTTGGTATGGTTTGATTCGCTTCGGGACGGTTTCTGTTCGATTCACAGTATGGTTTGCTTTGGTTTGGTTAATTTCATTTCGATTCTTGATACGGTTTGGTTTAATTTGGTTCATTTTTTTTTTAGGTACGGTTTGATTCGCTTCGGTACAGTTTCAGTTCGATTCGCAGTATGGTTTGCTTGGTTTGGTTCATTTCATAACGATTCGCGATACGGTTTGGTTCAATTTGGTTCATTTTATTTTCGGTACGGTTTGATTCGCTTCGGTACGGTTTCGGTTTCGATTCGCAGTATGGTTTGCTTTGGTTTAATTCATTTCATTTCGATTTGTGATACGGTTCGATTCGCTTTGGTTTGACTCAATTCAATTCGCGATACGATATTGTCTTGTGCTGATTCCTTTTGGTCGAAAAACTTATGATGCTTTAGTGGAAGTTTACATCGTTTACCTGACATACTTCTTTTGAGATGAAATTCTCTCCGAATGGAGTCTGGAATGCTGCTGCCATACTCCCATGTGTTTCCTCTTTCTGGATCCTTCCATTTCACTCTGTAGTAGATTTTGCCATTTGCTCTCTTGGAACTTACAAGTGAGTGGATGTCCTCTGGATTGAAAACCTGAGGGATATCCTTGAATTGATTACCTGATGTTGGACTCTGACTTTGAGGTTGTACCTGGCTGTCGTCAAGTTGTTTTGTGGATTTTGTCTGGTGATACTTACTATTCACTACCCTTTTCCCTTTGTTTACTTTTTCATTTACCTTGGTTTGAGCATGATTTTCCTTCGTAATTGTTGTACTGGGACTGGCAGGTTTTTCTGTTGTACTTGGAGCAGTGTTTTTCTTCTTTGTTGGGGTCTTTTGCTTTGAATTCTTGCTGCTGGAAGTGCCTGCCTTAGTTTTGAAAATGACCTTGTTACCTTTCTGTTGTGGAGGTGATTGATCAGTTGCTTGGTCAGTTGAGCTTGTTGATGGGGAATTATTGCTGTCAAGCCCAGTATCATTGAGTGGTTCCTCATTGTCA